CCTCACCTCACTCTCTCCCTTCTCCCTCTCCTCACCTCACTCTCTCCCTTCTCCCTCTCCTCCTCTCCTCACCCCCTCACCTCCCTCTCTTCACTCCCTTCTCGCCTCCATTCCCTCACTAAAAGATGAAAGAGGGAGAGAAATGACAAAGAAATAAAGGGAATAGGAAGGAAAATCAATGAAAATAAAAAGAGCAAAAAATCGATAAATTCGTAACTAAGCAAAAAAGAGAGAAACAGTATTTATTAACATCTTTTAAGAGATCGAAAAAATGGATAAAAATAAATAAAATAAAGATGTGATAACTACAATAACATAAAGAGAAACCTAAGTAATATTTTGATCGTTTAATTAAATAGAAATATATAAAATATCTCTTACTATTAGATTTATTCAAGAAAATAATCAAACTATTCAATTGTTGGCGATAATCTTAAGTAGATGTGAACCAACGACAAAAATAACAATTCTTTATTTTACCCAAAAACTATAAAGAATTTAATATTTATTGAAGTAAAAACATAAAAATTCTATAAAATATTTAAAATTCTCGTTAAATAATGAATAACAAGAGAAAGATGTGAATGAGGTGGTTTTAGAGCGATAATAATGGACCCGATATTGACAGAGACGTTTAGTGGATGTGATGCGATGACATGTAAACAAAACGGGACGCCACGATAAAAATTCTTACTAAAAATTAAATTCATCATTTATATGAGGATAAATTTTATATAATATCTTAGAATTAAATATAAAGAAAGATTTTAAGAGAGAATTTGTTGTTTTAAAATGCTGGAAGTTGATTCATATTAATATAGAATTAATCATAAAAAATTTTTTATATTTCTTCGTATAAATAAGTTAATGTACCAACTATATAACATTTAAATAAGGACAAAATACGTATAAACATCTTAGAATTAAAGAATGTTAAGAAAAATACGTATAAAATAAGAATTAGTTATAGAGGGTGAAAGCGACTTGGTGTTGGGAGAGAGATTTACCCCAGGTGACTCGTTAACCCCAGGTGACTCGTTAACCCAGGTGACTCGTTAACCCCAGGTGACTCGTTAACCCAGGTGACTCGTTAACCCCAGGTGACTCGTTAACCCCAGGTGACTCGTTACCAGACTCGTTAACCCCAGGTGACTCGTTAACCCCAGGTGACTCATTAACCCCAGGTGACCTGTTAACCCAGGTGACTCGTTAACCCAGGTGACTCGTTAACCCCAGGTGACTCGTTAACCCCAGGTGACTCGTTAACCCCAGGTGACCTGTTATCTTGAAAACATTACGGAACTAAAATTTTCTCAAAGTTCTTATTAAATATTAACTTAATATACTTTCCTTAAAATCAAAATTATACAAAATACCTTAGAATTGATTTTTATTATAAAGAAAAGTTTTAAAAGTGACTTAGAGGTTTTAAAAGACTGAAAAACGACTCAATATTGACGAAAACCTTTACCAGATGTGATTTAAGCGGATGTAAACAAACGCGAAATACCACAAATTATAACTACATTTCACGATGATAACTCCCTAAACACGTCATTCATCTTACTTAAAATTACCTAAAAGCCTTAAATTCAAACCTAGAGACTTAAAATTAAAGTTTGAGAAAGAGAAAGAAAGGTATTGGGTCTTCTTAAGGGAGTGGGCAGCGATGGAAAGGACAGAAGCATTTAGCAGATGTGAACCAATCAGGCCACTGAGAGGTGAAGGAGGAGGAGGGGAGAGGGCCGAGAGGGGTAGTGGCCGAGAGGGGGTAGGAGCCAAGGGGGAGTGGCTAAGGGGGCTAGTGGCCACGAGGGAGGTAGTAGGCCAAAGAGGGATAGTGTTCAAGGGGGTAGTGGTGGTCGAGAGGGGGGGGGGTGGTAGGCTGATAGGGTGCAGCAGGGGGGCTAGTAGCAACGGAGGGAGGTAGTAGTCCAAAGGGGAGGGGTAGTGGCAGATTGATTACAAATTTCATTCCATACGAAAGGAACAAATAAGAAACATGATTGACTAACAAGAGACAGACAGACAGACAGACAGATGAGACAGACAGACAGACAAATAAGACAGACAGACAGACAGACAGACAGACAGACAAATAAGACAGACAGACAGACATAAATTAATATTACATGACAAACAAAATAAAAACAATAAAGGCTACAAAATCTAAGAGACTGTTGATAGAAAGCTAAAGTAAGCTACAGACAGCTACATAAACTCACTAAAAGGCTAAAATAATCACTACAAAGCTATAATTTTACAAAGTTACAGGAAAGGTCACATAAAAGCTAAGAAAGTGAGGAGAAAGCTAATAAAACGTGACGACGAAGCTAAAATAAAATGAGAAAGGCTAAAATAAATGAAAGCTAACTAGTGACCTTATTGACCAGACGACCTTAATTTACCTTAGGGAGAAGGGAGGGGGAAGGGAGAGAGAGGGAAGGGAGAGAGGATGAGAAGTTTAAATAAGACAGAAGGGAGAGAGGGAGGGTGGGAA